TACGTGTGTGGGTGTGGTTGTGGGTGGGTGGGTATGCGTGTGTTTGTGTGCTTGTTTGTGTGTATTTATATATATATTTATTGATATATATATATAATGTGTGTGTGTGTGTGTGTGTGCGTGCGTGTGTGTATGTGCGTGCGTATGTGTGTGTGTGTGTGTGTGTGTTTGTGTGTGTTTGTGTGTGTTTGTGTGACTATATGTGTATGTATGTGTCCGTGTCCGTGTCTGTGCCTGGTTCTGTTTCTTTGTCTAAGAATGTATCTACGTGTGTGGTTTGTGTTGTAATTTGTTTTTATATTATGATAAGAAGCTGTTTATTCTATGTGTGGTGCGCCATTTTAGAGTTCATTTGCGTATGCTTTACTCTACTTTTTTCATACTACTTGGAATGCTATCAGGTCATAACCTACAATACTATAGATTTTAGAGGTGAAATGAATATGTTGGATATGGAGTGGTGTTCAAAACCGTGTGTCGGATGTTTAGGTATTGATTATGTTAACATGTTGACTGCTCTTAATGGGTATGACCTAAAGTTGCAGATGTAAAATTCTTTGATTGTGGATGTATATAGCAAACTTTTTGGTAGTCTAGTGAAATTTAGTGTACTATTGAAATCTGATGTACACAGTTTGACTCACAGGTGCTAGTTTGGCTTCGGCGCATCTTCCGATACCTTCGTACCCCCTCCACGAGTCCATGCCCGATGATATCATATCCAGTGGGAAACTCAGTAATCTGCAGCTCGAAGCGATTTTATTCGCTTCTCAAAGACACCAGAAGCTTTTTAACTATCGCCTTACTCCTGATGGTGAACCTATGCACGCGCCACGGTTGGGCTCAGGAACACTCGACCTCTGTACCAGAGCGGGGTTCTTCATCGGAGATCAAACGGGTGTGTTAGGCTTGGGTTTCGACATCTTGAGCATTTATCCGCTTCATTTTCCTGTTCTTTCTTTATGGCACACACGCCAACGCAATACCTCTTGAATATGTGCTTGATTAGTGTAAAATAGATTGTTTCCTAAGTAATACTTCGCAGTAAGTTTGCGAGTCAAGCTAGTAGGAGCCTGGTATTTCGACTCGTGACACCGCGCTCGAATATTCGAGAAGTAACCCTCGACAAGGCAAATTTTGCGTGAAGCCATCGTTCTAAGACCTGATTTTGATTTTTGATTTTTGTGGCAGGCGTTGGCAAAGGACGTCAATCTGCTGGTATCATTATCGCTAATGTAGCTCGAGGCAGAGGAAAGCATGTGTGGTTCTCCACCTCGAGTGACTTGAGAGCTGATGCAGAAAGAGACATGCGGGATCTGGGCAGCTATATCAATATTATCGATGGCTGTAAAGAGCTAGATAAGCAAACCGGTGCTCTGAGCATGAAAGGAGTTCTCTTCTGTACATATGCGACCTTGGCGCGACCGGCTAGGCTCGAGGAAATCATTAAAGTATGTGTTTAGGGTGCTTCTTTTTGTCTGATGCACTTTTTAGAGTGTGCATTTTAGCTCGTAAAATTACATTTATAAACTTGCAGTACGTAGTTTTACACCCATTCAAATAGTGCGGTTTTAAATAGAGTCTGTTCGGATATAAACTTGGTATTCTTTGGCATATACAGGCTGATTTGTACGCAGGTAGAAATTATTGCCTGATTTATCATATTCTCTATCCGTATTTATTGTATCCTGAATTTATTTTAGTGGTGTGGAGGAGATACTTTCGATGGCTGCCTGATTTTCGATGAAAGTCACAAGGCAAAGAATCTCAAAATGGAGGGACGCAAAAGCTCTGGCAGTATGACAGCTGCGGCCGCTCTGCATATTCAGAGACGGATGCCGCTCGCTCGCGTAACTTATTTATCAGCCACGGTATGACATTCGCACACGGTTTTTAGTGCCTGAATCTTAGAGCGTCCTGGTATCCGTATTCTGGAAGAGCATTATCTTCACCCTGCTCTGTTGCTTTAATTTATCCGTGACCAAGTTTAATTACTTCTCACTGACTACTATGCACACGAGTAACCAAATTATCGGAAATCTCATAGGGTGTGACGGAACCAGCACATCTGGGTTTCATGGAACGACTAGGGTTGTGGGGTCCACACACATCCTTCCCCAACTTCAAAGCGTTTCACTCTGAGATTTCTAAGCACAGTATTGCTGTTCTGGAGCTGATAGCAATGGAAATGAAGATGAACGGCACATATGTATCTCGAGGGCTATCTTATAGCGACTGTGAGTTCGAAATTGTAGAGACCGATGTATCAAAGGTCAGTAAACATGGGTTCAGCCCGAAGTATTCACGTTTTGTGTGTTGCTGCGTTGCTTATATTAATAAGACAGAGCAAGTAATACGAATATAGAGCAGCACCTATATGGAAAAAAGCATACGGATATATAGAGCGATACATTATTCGACAACTCTTTTACATTTGTGAACTTTCAGAGGCCGTCTGCGAGCAAAATTATGAGTGTTGTTTCTCTATCGATCCGCCTATCTCACACACCACATGATTTTTCATGTGCATGTAGGCCCATGGCGCTCTCTACGATCAGTGCTGCAACTTGTGGGCGATCTTGAGAGGACAGATGAAAATAGCATGCAAAATGACCAACACGCCGCTTAAAATGTTGCGCAACTACTGGGCATGTCATCAACGGTTCTTCTTGCAACTATGTGTATCCTTAAAGGTGAGTCGAACATGAGGATAAAGTTTTAGCTTGTCAGAGTGACTATTCATAGGTTGGAGGAATACTCTGTGGCCTTGCCTCATAGTATAGATCAAACCTTCTATGTGATCCATTGTGGTGGACGGTGAATAGAAGCCGCGCCGCTTTGAAGTGTCCGACAGAATGACCTGTGTTAGAGTCTTAAACATGCGGTGAGATAATCAAGAATTATCTTTGGCATATCAGGTAGGGCGTATTGTGGAGCTAGCAAAGGCTGCTCTTGCTCGGGGCGACTGTGTGGTCATCGGATTGCAGAAGACAGGTGAAAGCAGCTCGGACGCAGTATTGGATCTCAGCCAACCAGACAAGATTTATCCGTCCCCCATAGCAGTAGAGAAAGAAATTTTGATGCGCTTCATCGCTGAGCAATTCCCCACCAAGATGGTATGCAAGCGTGGCCGCATTGAATCGTTTGACATCACAGGTTTTCTACCTATACAGATAGAAGTCTTTGACATTCGCTTGAGACCTTATCTTTATGCTTTTAAACTCTTCTCTTTGCTTCAATTTGGGCAACATGGCAGGCCCCGAAAGATGTACCGGGTGACCCGGATGATCCTAATGTTATAGCACGAAAACGGATCGAGGAGCAGAGATCGATGATGACCATACCGGAACTGGTACAAACACGCAACATTCTTATTCAGAGGGCGGGAGCCCTACAGATGCCTGGCAATCCTCTTGATTTGCTCATTGATGAGCTAGGTGGCCCAACGAAGGTGGCGGAGATGACTGGTCGTAAGGGTATGTAATTTCATGCCATTATTCTATATCTAGAAAATATCTCCCCTCAGTCTATCGCGAGAACCTTTTTTCGTTTCTAATGTGCTTTGTGCAGTTGTCCGTCTACTATCTCGATTGGTATGACCCAAGTTCTGACGGATGGTTTCCTTCGATGTAGGGCGCATGGTGAGGGCTGGCAAAAAAGGGTTCATCTATGAGAAACGTGCCGAAACCGAGGATGACACGACGCATATCTGTAATAATGAAAAAATTCGGTTTATGAACGGTGACAAACTAGTGGCAATCATCTCAGAGGCGGCCTCCACTGGTATCTCGCTGGTGAGTATTCTCTCCTTTGTGAAGGACGCTCATTTTCGATAGCCTATTGTGTAGACTAGCTGCTGTTTTGTGCACGTGCAACCCGTTGGTGATGAATTCTGACAATCATTGTACATATACATATCATTCTGGCCACGTCGCAACACTTCGCTACGTCTACCACACAGCCCGCTCTTTCCCCTTGCACGTGGGATACAGCATTCAACTTTATAAGAGCCATATCCTCTGAGAGAACTTTCAATACATTTCCCAACCCCCAAATAACGAAATTTCGCTACTTACAGCATGCTAGTTTAAATGTGCGAAATCAACGGCGCCGTCATCATTTCACTATTGAACTCCCATGGAGCGCTGATCGCGCAATTCAGCAGTTGGGACGTACTCATAGGTCTCACCAGGTGCGTATGTACCAGTGTGGCTTCTCCGTCTCATGAGATTTTTTTTCGCCCCCAGTAAAGGCAAGTGGTATACTTGCCTGCTCACTTCGTCAGTGTATTCGTTTCTAAATTATCCACAGGCTCGAGCATAATGACACTCGAAGATTATATTTAATGATTTTCTTCATGACTGGAAACTATGAGACTGTATAGTCCCTAACATATACTTGCCATACCGCGTATCGGTATTTATATATCTTGTCACTGACACCCATATTTCAATTTCGGCTCGCAGAAAACGGGACCCATCTACAAGCTTGTTGTGTGCTCACTCGCCGGAGAATTACGCTGTGTGATGGCTGTGTGCTCGCGGTTGCAGAGTCTGGGAGCGCTCACGCGTGGAGATAGGCGGGCTAGTGTTGGTTTCAATTTCGACGATTACGATATAGATAATAAGTACGGGAAGAAGGTAGGGGTTTTCTTTTGCAGAAGCGGTCTTTTGGCGGAATTGGAGTTTCAGGAGCTAAACTACGATTAATAGATATATCTGTTCAAAATCTATTCGCTTGTGAACCCCGATTCGTAATTTTTTTTCTCCTCCTTCGTTCTACCATATTTACAGGCGTTAAAGGACATGTCCCATTCTATACGACAACGCACACCCTATCCTGGCGTGGATAGTGAGACGATTTCAGCACTCGAGCAACAAGCGCAAAAGATTGCTCAAGGCAGCGCAGACCAGGCTTTAGGGAAGCCAATACTCTTTACAGTCTTGGCTGCGTGCATAGGTACGTTCGTTGATAGCAGTCTAATTGTCTTCCACGGTTCTCAAATGACGCACCACTTAATTCCATCCGATCAGTGAGTGTATGCTGCGGGTTATGGACAGGCTGCAATGAAGTGACAAACTGAAGTAGATTATGCTAACTTCGAGCTAACTCTGTACACATACGCGTATCATATTATTCGCACCGCTTTTTACTCAATTTTAGATTTAATGGCGTTTGAGGACGGGGATGAAGGCAAGGTGGAAAACATCAGGTCCTTCTGGAATCGCTTACTGGGTCTCACAGTTGCCCAACAGGGCATATTGTTTGGGTGTGTGTTTGAGTTGAAGATTAGTACATAGGTTTGAATGTTGTAATACGTTATTCAATCTCACAGCGAATATACTTGTCCTTGCTACACAAGCCCCTTAAGTACAGCCTGATTTAGTCGCAATATATGTACAATTGCTTAATTTTTTTTTACACATTCATATTGAATACAGATATCTTTCTGCTGTACTGAAAGCAGTTGTGAACGAAGCCAAACGCGATGGTACCTATTTAGATAATGTGTTGGATCTGAAAGGAGAGGATATCATGATACAATCTAAGGAAATTTTGAGTCGAGTATGTCTGTTCTTAAAAATATTGCATGCTCACGTTATATGCGGTATTCTGTTCTTTTTTAACACGCTGCGTCGTGCTTCCCTTTCTGAATTGGTTTTGATGGGTTTCTAGAATATTCAGGTCTCTGCTAAGTATACCCATATTCTTAGACCACCATTTATGAATCATGCACGGACATTTATACACACCAATGCAGGATCCATCCACAGACGTGCCAACGATTCACTACCAGGTACTGGTCAATAGAGGTGTATCCTTTCCAGTGGCATCCTATCGGTTGGAGCAAGCACAAGCAGCGTTCTCGTAAGTTGTTCTGCTTTCACGTAGGTTAAAACGAAAGTGTCATGAAAAAGATATCTGCTTGCACATTCGTTCATTAGAGTGGCAAGGGTGCATAAACCTCTGCTAATTTTGTGCACCTTATATGATAGGCTGACCTTCTTGTATATTCGATCAATAGATTCGCAGCCGCATGCAGGCAATTGGCTACATAGGGTTTGAATCACTTTCTCATGTTCGTGGAGGTTCTCCCTGAGGTTGTTGATTTCAGACTCTTCTTTACCACCCATACCGCAGTGGAAGAGCTGCTCAAACCGATGGTGATACGGACAGTACAGCAGATAAGATTGATGAAGATGAAAGCGGTGAGAATGTCAAGAAAGGCGTGGACAACGACAGGGGAGAAACCATGCAAACAAACACCGTCCAAATCACTGATCCCGCAGAGGAGGTCGAACAACCCCCGAACAGTATGTGGATTTGTATTTTCTTAATCCATTGTGAATTCTACTCTATAGTGAATTTGTGTTACGTTTTCTATCAACACCTGTAACATATTCTGACCACTGAAACATTGTTGATTTCGTTCTTGACCTCTGCAGCTGACTCGTCGCTTTATCTGTATATTGGATTAGTGTTTGCAACGGCCTCCTATATTGTCTGTAAATTAGAATAATACATACATCTGTACATTCTATATCTGAATAGTGATGATATGTTACGCGTCTGTTGCTTGCTTTTCCAATTTCACTGCAGGCGATTTTGTCTAATTTAAATTTCACTCGTATGCTAACAGCTGACGCGTCTGAGCCGCCAGACATTGAACCAGGTGTGCTCCCTGTTAGTGTACCAGCGATGGACAAGGACAATACAACTTCTGAAACAATGCCAGCAAACACCGATGTCAACTCTGTACGCAGTACAGCCACTTCGCCAAGGAATGGGGGGTACGTGCCCGCCGAGACCTCAGATCCCGTGAAATCGCCTGCACGTCTGGTGGAGGACGAAATAGATGGCGAAGGCAACGAAGGTGAAGCCAGGAATGCTAACAGTGGTTCGGATGGTTCGGATGGTTCTGATGTAGACAGCAAACCCGACGACAAAGACAGCGATTCCGAATCGGACGCGACCGTGGATTCCGACGATGGAGGGGAAGAAAACGAGACATATGTCGATTATTCTGGATTTTTTATCTCCAAAGTGCCTCACTTTGGTAGGTATATGCTCTTATTGGCCACGGGAAAGGCTGGAAATCCATTCTACGTGAATATATATCGACCGAATACCGGAAAGGGTGTTGACATCGCTGTAGACACGCTTTTGGTAGGTCCTTGTTTCAGTCTCTTCGCTCTTTAGCACTTAGCTGTGTGATGTACGTGCCTTTGATTAATGCACACTATAGCACGTGCCTCAGTCGACGCAAGATAGTTGCTGATAAAGTCAACTATGGGGACATATCGAATGATGCTCATTTCGCATACTTGTTCACATCTTTCACGTAGCAACGGTACAAACTAGTCAAACCGGAGGAAATGGAGCAGCAGTGGACCGAATTCTATGATGCCACTAAAGATCATTGCACACACAAAAGTACGTGTCGTTGCTCCTCTGGGAAGCGCACGGTACTACACCACATTATCAATGGAAATATTGTGCAGCAGTGGTCCACCATACAAGGGTACGTTACGTTTGTGCGTGTTCATATGCGCTGCGGTTTGCCTGCGCGGACTCGTGATGACAACGGCGATGAATCGTCGTGTGCGCATGTATGACGGTCCGAGACCTTTTTGGATTGTATTCTGTGCACGATTCAAGTCATGTTGTATTGACCACAATAGGAGAGCTTGATTGAATTCTTTTCAACTATGATTGTATCACTTCTTTGCATTTACAGCATCACGCAACGGTTCAAATCGACTCAAGCGGCCGGCAAAAATAATATGCAGATTGTTCGGTTGGAAACCAGTACCGGGGAACGATTAGTGGGTATCTCTCTGAACGAGCAATGTATATTTGAATTGTCTATGCATCTCCGGGAGAGGGAGCACGTACTGGCCACTACGCATACGAGAGCGAATATGACGATTGAGCCTGTTGGTACCCTAAAAATTAAACAATTACAGCGCGCAATGGTATGTTATCTGTGTGACCCGCAGCTTTTAAACAATTCTCAGTACACTGACGGAATATTTCTTTTTGTACAAGTCAATTGCATGTTGTCATTTTTAAGCATCTTGAGTACCTGATAGCACAAACCACGGATTGTTGACGCAATCACATGTTCAATCAATTGTTCGCAGACCAAGCCTCGAGACATCACCACCTACTTCGGAGCAGCTTCTGCAGTATCTAAGCAGGAGCCGAAGGTTGAACATGAAGCTTCTCTAGGTAGAATGGCTCCCTTAAGCGAAAACTCGCAGAAAAGAAATGCTGACAATATTGAAACGACCATCCGCGCAAAGATAAAGCCAATTGTACATTCTAAAAAGCGTAAAGTCACCTCCTCGAAAAAGTCATCGTCAAATCCGAGCTTGTTGTCTTTATTCAACAAACAAAGGTATGCAAGCTGTAGGTATTCATACTATATTGTAAATTGAATTGTAACACAGCATAGTGGGTTTTGAATGTACAAACGAAGATTTTTCCTTCCATACTGACCACTGACTGTGACACTGCCTCTAGTGTGTACGCGGTATCCTCCAATCTCACGATTGCCGTATCTCGCATTGGGTAGATATCTCTGGTTAGAATAGATGAATACCTCATTTGATTTCTAATTTGCGCTTTTGTATTGAATACTTATCATATTATCTGAAGGAGCAAGAAGCCCGGTGTTGTCAATAGTGGAAATGCGCCAGCCGCACCCAGTTCGCGTCATGCGAATCCGACTTCCCCTGCTGCCGGTCCTAAGGAAGAACCGACATATATCACACTCGACTGATGGCAGCTACGTATGTTACCATGGTCATGTGAAGAGCTGTATCGCACGGGCCGACCTTGCCCTCACTAGATGGGTATAATGTGAAGTACTACTCTGCAAATCGAGTACAGGCGAAAGGGGCCATCAGGGCTTGTGAAAGATGTCTCCAGAGCGCAGCATTCCTCTCAATAGGCGCTGGGTATGATCCATGCCATTAATGGAATACATCACGTGTACTGGGTGTATACTTCTAAGATTGTGGTGCAAATGGTGAAGCCCGTACTCTTATCGCTGGCTTACAGACTGGCTGCAGTCGGAGTACGGTCGCTGTTGATTGAGCGATCTGGAAACGAATCCGCGAACGCACCATGTGATACTCGATGGAAGCAATCAAAAGTGGACTTTTTTATGCTTTCAAATTCCCACTCCTTTAGATATGTCGAGATCTTCCATCACATCCAATTAAGGCATATGAACCAGATTCCATAGGATGCACTCCCCGCCACGACTCCGTTTTTACTAGGTCACTAACGGAGTTTTCGATATTGGAGGTCGCTGATCGGCAAATAAATTTAAAACTAGATATTTCGCATAGTCATAATACTTAATAAAATGTAAGGAAGAACGATTAATTTACCTGCGATGTTAAGAACCGGCATCGAACAATATTAAATTAAATGGCTAATTGTTATATAAAACCAATACAACAAGAATACTGAGGCGGTTCCAAGTAGAAAAATGTTTCAGATGTGATCTCGATAAAATACAGTAGGTAGGGAGGCTGTCTGATCATATTTGTTCGACTCGTAGCTGCGAACTCTCGCCCAAACCCAAACCAGAGGGCATTTATACAAAGCAGGGGTGAGGTCAGTATAATCACTCGTACAAATAAAATAAAAGAGGGATTTGACCCGAAAATTAGGGAGGGTTCGCCTGAAACAGTTACATACTTGGAACCCGCCTGGCAGTCTTTTCAGTACTTTTCGTTTACTGTACTTGGACACTGCTAATTCCACGTCCTAGAATGATTGTTATTAAAACGCGGACTAAGTTTGTGTATGACGGGGAAGAATATAGTGCATGAGGGGTATTAACGAGAAAAACTGCAGGAAGTTTGCGTGCCATAAGTAATACCTGATGTCATGATTGTGTGTTCCGTCACATACCTGTATTCCCGGTTCGGGCATAGCTCGTCTCGGATATAGCTCGTCACATACTGGGGAAGGCTGTCCCTAAGTATTACAAAACAGCGCTTTTGACTTCGACTCCGAATGGGTTGGGACAGGCGCGCAGACAGATTTTTGGGCTTTACCCATGCGGGTTACTTCACGCCAAACAGAAATTAGTTGGGAACCCACATGAACAACAACGCAAGCAGCGTATTTTGTAAAATTCACAGCTCAAACGAAACTTTGCTATTGTCTGGTGATACTTTACGTATTGAGTGACTTTCGCCTAAACCTGTTTGTGAATATACTTCGATAAATCTGTTGTATCATTTGATGATGATAGGCAGTTATCCAATGAAACATATTCCAAACATGTGTATACTTTAAGCGCAATTGGCGACATGAATTCAGATGAGACAGATAGAACACTATTACATATCGTAATCCATGCTTTACTAATTCAAACTCGTTTGTTCTTCATATATTTGTGGAGGAACAAGTTTGTGTCGTTGAGCATATAACTTGCGCCGATTTTTGAATTTAAAAAAGGTCACCCCGGGTAGAAGTCACTTGAAATTTTTGCACAGTTACATGGAAGTTGCTACACTACCAAGCTCATGTATGTTTTGAAAAAATAATCGATGAACTTTTCTGTTTATATGTAGCTAATTTTTGGAAAGGTCATATAATGACACCTGATTTAAAGTAGCTTTTTTTCTCTGTAATGTGTGCTACATACCCCAAAGCGTACCGCTCAAGTAAATTTCTGATAAAATTGCTAGAAACTATCGAGTAAAACCCCTCAAGATTTGTTGATTGCGCTGGTGCACTGCCAATAACTGTGCATCTACCCTTTTGTTGGGCGGTACAAAGGCACACTTGTGTAAAATATAGAGGAGAGTTACTCGATAGTTGTTTTTTCAGCATTCGCGTGGTATTGACTATGACCAATTGTATCACTGTCAGCAGAGTCCCTGGTTCTGTTCGCTGTCATACAAATAGCTAGCTGCCGCAACAGCCATAAAATCACCCCCAAAAAAAAAATCAGAATGTCAACACAGCCTTGGAGGATTAACCACTTCTGCTATCACAAAGATAACGATATTTACTCACTAATACCTGAACGCGCATTTAAAGGTTGCCTTTTAAATAGTAGGTTTGGTACGAGGCTAAATTTTAAATACAACAAGATCTGTTCGTAAGCTTCTGGTGTATGCAAATTCTTGTGGTGGTCAACCGATGCAAGCGTCGCCTGTCTTCGACATATATTACTTGATTTTGCGCCTGGCTCATATTCATTTTGAGTGAGGGCGCAATACACATGCACTTGAGCTAAAACACATCTGGCCGGTGTCTACCGGCGTCCATTTCTAACAGTTCAAGCTTAGACTCTTTGTGTACATGCCTATTATCCAATAGCAGTGACTATGCAACTAAAATGATGGACCATTCTTTTTACAAGCAACAGAATTCTAGCCAAAAAGCGACACTTACGGGGAATGATGTTTTCTTTCAAAAGATACAGGTCTTCGATTAAATACGAATTGCGGAGTACACATCACATAAGCACATCCCGCACTAACGCTTTCATTTCCACTACTCTATAAAAATAAAAATCGAGAGGAGAGTCAGAAAAGTGATCTAGGCTTATACGATTTCTCAATATGTGCATCAGAGCGCGGCTTTCATGTGATCATATCTTTGACGTCTGCTACATGACTCATCACTCGAAAATGCAAGAATTGCGAATAATTCTCACTTGGTATTCTGCAGAATATAAAGCAGTGTGCTATCATATTTGTTTAACTAAAAAACCGCCTATCAACCGGGCCTCAATCTTGGGGCAGGGGCAACTTAATTAAATGCGGTAATTACCCAATCCTTATTTTATCATTCGAGACGGATTATCACCACACTTCTGAGCAATTGTTGTTTTCACACCATGTCCATTGCACCATCACTTCACGAATTACTGATATGCACGTATTAGAGTGTAGGTCGGTTTTGAGGTTGGTAGAATATACGATTATAGTGTACTAAAGCACTATAGAGACACACACATATATATATATATATATATATATATATGTGTGTGTGTGTGTGTGTGTGTGTGTGTGTGTGTGTGTGTGTGTGTGTGTGTGTGTGTGTGTGTGTGTGTGTGTGTGTGTGTGTGTGTAGTGTATATATATAGTTATAGTTGTGTGTGTGTGTGTGTGTGTGTGTGTGTGTG